CGCCGAAGGCTTTGTTCATGCAGTCAGTGGAATAACATCAGGTGGTAAACTATTTTTAAAAAATAAAAGAAAACGAAATCAACTTTAGATATTATAAAAAGGATTCACAGTTATCTATATTTGTAAAAGAAATGTGATGTTTAAACATATCTTACTTGGCCACAAACTCAAGAACAGCAGGGTAGGTAGCATTGATTTCCAATAGAGACATATCAAATGAATTTGAAACAGCTCTTTCACCTAAAAACAGCATGATATTAGTATTTTCACATATGTTCTGATTTCATTTCGATTTCAAAATCATGAATTATTCCCAGTAACAACATTCTATACCTTTAAATGAGTTGATCTTTGCAAGCCGAAGCAAGCAAATCACTCTCTCAGTCCCTGCATTTTGACATGCATTATACATTGCCTCAGCAAATCTCCCCCAAAGAGTGCATTTAAGCCTTTCATCACTACAATACAACAAAAATATTGAGAAAGTTTTAAGTTTAGATGTATGTAAGATTATATAGAAAAGGTAGATTCATGATTAAACTTACTTTGTGTCTCTGAGTTCACACTCAAGTCTCTTTGTGATCTTGTTGTTAACATCATGAATTTTCATTTCATTGAAACTAACTACCTGTCCAAGTACATCTGCAAAATAAGAGACTAATAAATTATATTTTCATGAAGAAGTTCCTATTATAATAGAAAAAGAAAATATACAATGGAAAGTAAGATAGATATAGTACCAATTAAGATGTTTTCACTCAATCCTGCTTCATTCAAAATATCTGGAAAGTTTGCCAGATCCACATAAATGTCATCAGAAACAGCAGGAGTGCGACTTATCACAGTTTTTTCCATCATGGACATCTTGAAACCATGTTTTGTGGCTCGATACTTTCCTGTTGATTTGGTTAGCGTAAAATGCTCGATAATACGCCATTCTCCAGAAACTATGAACCTTTGCAGTTTGCTCACTTGTGGCTTCTTAACAGTAGCATGAATCAAAGTACCCTGGCAACAGATAAAAAGAACTCATGTTAATCATCCATCAATATTGATGATTGATAAATGTTTAATATGTTGAAAATGATAGTTCTTATACTTACAGCTGTATCAGCAAGAACCATTTCAACTGTTTCCCCGGTGAATTGAGTGTATTGTGTCCACGAATGCACAATCTTAACTTGAATTTTCCAATGTGTTTTGAAGGGCTTAATGTCAGCAAGAGGGGTGAATGCTTGAACAGCTGCCATTTTCTTACAGAAATAGTGAAGTGGTAATGGTAAAGCTTTGAAAGGTGAGTTCTTTCTAATGCAGGTCCCTATATTTATAGTAATCGTATGGAGCCTTTAGTTTTATTAGGTTTTAGAGAATATAGGCCGTATAATATAATTTGGGATTAGGATCTTAAAGGTATATGCTTGATTTAGGGAGATTTATTTGCATATAATTTCCGATTTACTTGTTTGGTATATCAATATCGAACTGAATATGGATATTGAAGAGATTGTGTGATTTTTAATACCAACTAATAATGGAAATACAATTAGTTAGAATTCTATATCTTTCAATATAAAGAAATACAAATAATTGAGTTTTGCATTTAAAGAGATAATTTTTAAATTGGCATTGATAGTTTGTATTGATATGGAAAGATCTTTGCGAGATTTGTGTCTAATTATTAGTCAAATTAATTTAGAGAGTAGTATAATTATCTAATAAGTTACAATACTGTATCTTTCAATATATTATAGGGAGATATGGATTAATTAGCTTTGCATTTAATTCACCGTCTACACTATATATTTTTACATTGGCATTAATAGTTTGAGTTGATATGGTAAGATTTTTGCGAGATTTGAGTGCAATTAATCAAAAAATTAATTGCTAAATTATTCCCGATTTTAGAATAAGTAAAGAATATGCTTGATTTGTTATTATATGGAATATAAATAAATGCGTTTTATTTTAGGAAGTGTAAATTATGTGATTTGTTTGTTAAGGCAAAATATAGAGTAGTATATTTGATCCGGAAAAATAGTTATGGTAATGTTTGACTTGTGTGGCTAATGTTTTTATTTGCTTATATCTACTGCAGATTCCTAAAAAATCAAAAGGAGATTCATGATGGGCCTAAACATATTGTAAGCCCAACAGTCATCTCCCAATGACATAATCGGGTCAGCCATATTTAAAAAAACAGGATCCGGCTGTAGGATCCGGGATCCGCATCCCAACAGCGGGAATATTACAATTTTACCCCTCCGCATATTTTTTTATTTTGTCATCAAAACTTTAATTGTAATGGCATTCTCTTGTAATTATTTACAGATTGTAAGGTTATTTTTCAGGTAATCCTTCCCAATTAATAGTATAGATGCAGAAAAAATTGATTTTTCTTTTTACTTTATGTATTATACGATGATTCAAAACAGTTAAAAACAAATCAAACAAAGATGATAGGAGAATCATAATTATAAATCTTAATCAAATCTTCTAAATATCTAAATTATTAAATATTGAATATCCGGTGTATGAGTTGGGTTAAATATAACTCGACCCAACAAATTTTTTGTGAAGGAATTTTAAAAACGGGTCGGATATCCGATATATCCGGAAGCATTTTTACCCCCCCTCTTCAAAGTGTTGCAAAAATAATAGTATAGATAAACACATCTACGTGTATCTCCTTCGCACCAAAAAAAAAAATCTACGTGTATCTCCTTCGCACCAAAAAAAAAAATCTACGTGTATCTCCTTCTTTATTGAGACAGAGGAAATCATAAAAGCGTGGTTGAGACTTGAGACAGTGACGACGGTGGTTAACCGAACTCGATTTACCAAGCTATCAAGCGGTTCAGCTCTCTTAACCAAAGAAGCCAAACCAAAAACCTAGAATCTCGGTTCGGTTCCAAATATTATCGCAGGGCTGATCAATCTATATCTATATATATATACATTTTTGAATGACTTTTAGCAAATAAATCCTGGAGTTGGACCTTATTTACGGATGAATGCCATTGGCATTAATTATTTAAATTTGAAAAATATTACTTAAAGATATTACCAATACGATTTCGAGAATCATAAATTCATATCTTCCTTAATTTTCTGAGTCATTAATGTGACAATCTTTAGGAAATATTTCTCTGTAAAAAAAATCCACATTAATGAAGGCATTAAAATCGACACTAACAATTAAATTATTTAGATGTTCAATTATTTTAAGATTCTTATATCTTATTTGATATTTTTTTTAATATCTCATTCTTTAATTACTGCGTTTAGAATTTATTGGTTGTTACCTATTTTTGGTGAAATTTATTGGTTGTTACTTAATAAGTAATTATGGTGCATTTATTTTAGTTAATATCTAATTTAAAGGATTTGTTTTCTTTTATTATTAATAAATGAATAAAATGTATAGAAATGAAAGATTTTTTTTGCGACTCCATAATAAAAATATTAAACTCTTATTTTCTACATTTCTTACACATAATATCCTCTTATTCAATAACAAAAAATATATATTACATATTTTTAAAAATATTTATAATATTTAAATTATATAAAAAATTTGTAATATTAATATTATTTCAACTCTATACAAATTTAATATATATGTATATATATCTTATGGGAACCATTTAAAAGAAATTTTTAAATTGACTTGAATTATATAGCTTTTAAATAAAAGTATTATTAAAAAGAAAAATAACTAAATAATGTTTAATTTCACGGGACGGGTAATATGATGGGACGGGTTTGGGTTGATATTTATAAAAGATCGTATACCACGGGTGAAATCCTAAAATTAACAATCAAAATAATCTATCAAACAAATTACATTTTGATTTTTTTAAGAAAATATAGCCCCGCGGTGTACCGCGGGTTAAAATCTAGTCTATATATACATTTTTGGAGTACACTTAGCAAATAAATCCTGAAGTTTGAAAGTATTTACGAAGCAATGCCACTGGCATTAATTATTTAATTTCGAAAATTTAAATCAAAGATATTAATTACCAAAAAAATCTTAACATAATATCTTAACCATAACTAATCCTTTCTATAATATCGTAAAGATATTAATTAATTTTGACAAACCAATTTTTTAAAGTAATTCATTAATTAAATTATGGTTACTATTCGTTATTTGACAAACTCATTTTGCTATATTACTTATTATAAACCAAACTCATTTTGGCTATAAATAATTTGTTTAGTTATAAATTAGATTAACTCCAAAAAAACATTATTACCAAATATATAAATATTATTTATGTCTAAGGAATAATATGTTATTTTAGATTATTAAGAAATTTAAATATTATAAATATTTAAATTTTATAAAACTTTTAAAGTATCTATAATATTTCAATTCTATAAAAAAGTTTATATATTAATAACATTTGAACTCTATAAAAATTATAAATATATATACTATAGAGACAATTTAAAAGCAAGTTTTAAATTGACTCGAATTATATGTCTTCTAAATAAAATTATTATTAAAAAGAAAAATAACATGATGTTTAATTTCACGGGACGGGATTATATGGTGTGACGGGTTTGTGTCGATATTAATACGGAACGATATACTACGAGTGAAATCTTAGAATTAACAACCAAAATACAATTATGAAGTTTGGGTCGATATTAAAACTTTTATGAAGTTTCAAATATTATAAATATTTAAACTTTATAAAAATTTATAAGAAGTTTAAACATTGTAAATATTTTAGGGAAATTGTTAAAAATACCCCTTTTGGTGTGCCCCTTTTCAAATATGCCCCTTTTAGATGTCCATTTTCAAAAATGCCCCTTTTTAAATCTGAAATTTTTATAAAGTTTTATTAGGTTTATAAGGTACTTATGGATTGTAACTACTACTTGAAGACTCGATCCAAGTATTTATAAGGTTTTATAAGGTGTTTTAAAAGGTTTTACAAGTTATTTTAAAGGATTTTTAAGGTTTTTCAAAGGTTTTACAAGATATTTTAAAGCTTTTTAAAGGTATTTAAAATGCATTTATAAGGTATTTATAAAGTATTTATAAAGTATTTATAAGATTTTAGATACATAAAAATGTAGTTTGTGTATGTTTTAATAATGTTACATACATATTTGGGTAAATCTTATATTTTTAAGATCATTTTTTATAAAGTTATAAAGAAGGGGCATTTTTGCCCAGCGGCATTGAAAAAGGGGCATTTTTGCAAAAGCCCCTATTTTAAGATGATACTACATTTAAAGTATTTATAATATTTAATTTTATAAAAGTTT